ATTTCCATATTTTATGAGTTTATATATATATATATATATTATTGGGAGCTTGTCTAATCTAATTTTAAATAAATTAAGTGTAGTTATGCTTTTTTTTTTCTTATATTGAATCCTGTAAGCTATGAATGAAACTTTAGAGATAAAAAAATAATAGTAAGATGCTATAATTCTTCTCATTTTAGACTCTTAGGATCACGACATTTATCATGTGCAAGAGAGGTGGACCGACTAGCGTTTCTTAAATAAGATGATAATCCTAAGTGATATGAAAGTAGATGCATAATAAGACTGATTGATATGCTATATACGAGATGTCTGCTACATGGAAATCCCACAATTTTTTTTCTCTTAATTTAAATTAATTTTAATTATTTTTTAAAATAGATTTTATTATATATAAATAAAATAAATTTGTTAATAAAAAAATTATAATATATACATTATTTCAAAAATTTATTTCCCTAATTTAAAAATATATAGTCATTTATTATTATATATTATTATTATATATTATATTATTATTATTATTATTATTATTTATTATTATTATTATTATTATTATTTTCATTATTTAACTATTTTAATTACTATTATTACTTTTAAATTATCATATTATTATTATTATTTTTTATATATATTATTTATTTTTTGTTATTATTTATTATTTATTTATTTATTATTTATTCTTTTAATTTTTAAAATCATTTATATTATATTATTATTATATTATTATTATATTATTTAATTATTAATTTATTATTATTTATAAAATTTATTTATTTATGTTAAATCAGAAAAACACTTTTTTTATATTATCTAATTTTAAATTAAATAATTAAAAATATTGTTATTTTTAAAAACAATTTCATTTCCTTTTATTAATTAAATATATTTAATATTTAAATTACTATTAAATTAATTAATTTAAATTTAAATTTTTTTATTAAGTAAATGTTATTTAATTACTTAAAATTTTGGAAACTTTAATTATTATTTTAATTTGATATATTTACTTTTAATTAAATTTGAATTATTTTTGAAAATACCTTTAAAGGCTTTGAATTCAAAATCATATCTTAACTAATTTTTAACCGATTTGACGCTTAATACCTTTAAATTTTAGAAATTATGTTTTTTTCTAAAAGTATTCTTTAATTATTTATTTAGTATTTAATTACCTAGTTATTTAAGTATTATATAAATAACTAATATGTTAATTATTTTGAAACTTAATAATTATATTTCAAATTATTTTGTAATCTCCTTGGGTGGCCAGTGGATCTCCCATTTATTTATGTATTTATTTTAAATTGAATTACATTTAATTACATTTTTTTCTAAATTTCCATATTTATGGTTTATAGTTCATAGTATATAATAATATATATATATTATATATATATAATTATATATATATAATATATATATATATATATATATATATATATATATTGCGGAGCTTGTCCAATTGTGAATTTTAAATAATATAAGTGTAGTTATATTTTTTTTTGCTTATATTGAATCCTAAGCTCATGAATGATACTAGAAATAAAATTAAATAGTAATAAGATGTATAATTCTTCTCATTTTAGACTCTAGGATTCACACATGTATTCATGTGCAAGAGAGGTGGACCGACTAGCATTTCTTTAAATATTTGATTTGTATGTGTAATCCTAAGTGATATGAAAGTAGATGCATAATAAGACTGATTGATATGCTATGATACATCGAAGGTCAAGAAGTTGTGACTTTTTATTTGAAAAGCCACTAACTTGAGATATATAATATGGAGACTGATTCTTGGAAATAAAATTGATTATGATTGAGGTTGATCTATAAGATTGGAGCATAATGATGCTTGATAGATTATGATTGAAATCCAATTCACAAGCTAGAATTTTTATGTGAAAATTAAGTAAAATTTTTTAGTAGTATCTATTAGTAATAGCCAAATGGTGAATGCATTAGTTCTATTTTTTTTTTTTTTCATTTTGAGTAAAAAAATCTTTTATATATAATTATTATATTTTATGTAAGAAAATGAACATGTAATCTCACAACACTAAAAAATTTACAGCAAAAAAGGAGAACAAAACAATTTTTGTCTTTCTTACCAACAATTAGATACTTTAAATTCTTAAGATATAGTTTTTATTTTAGTCGGCAATTTTGTAAATATATAAAAAAATATTATAATTAACTTATGATAAAACAACATAATTATTGATTAATTGAATCCCTGCCAAGTAATTTTTTTGCCATAACTCATTTTGGATAAAAAAGTATGGGTGTCAAAATGAATTTATGAGTCGGGTTTGCCGAAACTGACTTGCCCTCTATTGCTCCAACTTGAACCCAACCTGATTACATAAATGGGTCAAAAATCTGAACTCGGATCCGACCCGCCCCAAATCCAAGTCAACTTGGCCATACACATAGACCCAGGTGGGCACAGAGCGTGGGTGGAGAGCAACTGGGCTAGACACGATGCCAGTGTGGATTGGAGTACGCGGTCACACATGAAGGGCGGAGGAGTGGTGCAATGTGGGCGAGAGCGGGCAAAATTAAAGCCGGGTGCGAGATGTGTCGACGCAAGCAGTGCCGGTGGGAGGGGGACGAGCGAGCTGCGAGATGGATTGAAGAACACGGCCTACGAACGAGATGCATAAGAAAAACAAAAAAGTTAAAAATAATCTCCTTATAATTATTCACATATGCCCAATTCATTATAAAAGTAGTATATTTCTTCACAACTACATAAAATTGATGGTAATGTAATTCTTGAGATACCACCTGATTTAATTTTGTATAGTCGAGAGATTAAAGTTTTGTTTGGTACAATTGTTTTATTGCTTTTCTTTCAAATTGTAACCACAGTTTTTATTTGGTCAATATATATTTTCTATTGTGGCTTTAAAAAAAGCTATTTTATGTATAATAACTTCAAAATAATCTCTATTAAAAACTACAGCATCACAAATGGGTCATAAATTAAAGAAATATTATAAAATAATCGAGAAGCTATTTTGAGGATTTTCCCTAAAATTATAAGGCTTGGATCAATTATATAAAAATATTTCAAATCAATTTATAAAACAGTACTTCAACATAAATAGTACATATGATATCGGCAATGAGTTTTTGCTCATAGATTGTATTTTGTGAGTAATTGCTATATGAAATTGATTAAATGGTCATCTACTTTAGATGTTGAGATTGAATCATCTGTTATCCCCATATGGATATCCTTCCCTAACCTCCGGCCTCATCTGTTCACCCCGCGCATTCTTCATGGTTTAGGTATGATTTTTGGCAAACCCTTGAAAAAGGACAATGTGGCATCTGTTGGTTCATGGCCGTCTGTTGCTCGCATTCTGGTTGAATTGGATGTGTCCAAACAATATCTGGACAAAATTTGGATCGGTCTGGATAGCTCTGGTTATGTTCAATCTGTGATTTTTGAAGATTTTCCAGACTATTGTTCGCATTGTCTTGCTCTAGGTCATTCTAAGGCGGGGTGTATGATTCTTCATCCTAATCTTGAATCTGTTGCTTTGATTAATCCTTCTGTTTCGACGGAGGTGGCTGTTCGTGGGGTTATGCCAAGTATTTCTGTGGTGGATTTGGAGGGGGCAGACACTGTTGCCCAATCTTGCCCTGTTAGGATTGAATTTCCTGTGCCTTCTCATATGGTTTTATCCCATGATCTTGTAGACAAGGGTGTTACGCTTGCTATGGGTGTCGCTCCTTATTTTCTGCTGATTTTGTTGCTCATGTTCTAGTTGAGATTGGTGTGGAGCATGAGGAGGCTAATCTGGTTAATTTTGCCTAGTTGGACTCTATTGAGGGATTGGTGGGAGAGGCCCCTACTGGTCATTTTCCTCGGTTGTGTGTGAGTGAGCTGGTGCTGTGAAATGTGGCCTTAATTCGAAACCTACTATGTGCTAGTAGGTCTGTCACGAGTGATTTTTAGCCTTCTGGCTCTCCTATTTCTCCTACTCATGCTGTTGATTTATCTCTATTGTGTACTGATAGTCCTATTACAGTTTCATCCAGTATTAATTTGGCCTCGTCTATTCAAGCTGTTGATTCTGTTGTTAACCCTGTGACGCCTACTGGCCTGGTTCCTGGCTCTTTTGTGGAGGTTCTTATCAAGTTTATTTCATCTGAGGTTTTACTTTCTCAGGTGGCTGCTAACTCAGGTGAGAGAGTTAGAATGCAATTAGATTGGTTACATTGTTCGTCTGATTCATCTGATTCATCTTCTAAGGATAGCGGGGAGGAAGTTCCTGAGGTTAATGTGGCTGGGCATAAAGACAGGCTTGTTGTGCCTATTTGCTCTCGTGGGAGGGGTAGACGTGGTAGAAAATGATTTGGGGTTTTGGTGCTGGTGACTTGGGCTTTTGGTCGGTTTCCTCCTTCGAGTTATGGCTGTGGTTTCTTTTGATGGTTTTATTTGGTGGTAGCCGTTTTGCTGGAGTTTCGTTTGAGAATTTCCGAGGCGATTGTTTGTTTATGGGCAATGATGTGGCTAGGGCTCATTTCCCAGAAGCCGAGGCTCGTGGCAACCTTTGGTGGTGTGTCTGCTGCTCATGGCTGTTTCGTTCGTTACTGCTGTCACTCCATACTGGATGGCTTGTGCCTGACTTTCAGGGGAGTTGATAGCCTCTGCCAACTACTGAGCCCGATGAGTTGATAACATTACTTCCTCTGTAACTTTTTTCGTATTGTTTTTCTAGCTAGTTGTACTCTTTATGCTATTGGAATAAAAAATTTTGGGTTTTTTGTTAGAAAAAACAAAACAAAACATATGATATCGGCAAACTGTTAAAATTATGAATTAACATGATAAACCTACATATGGAAGCAGCACAATATGCTAAACAATGTAGTTCAACACAAATCCTTTAGAAATTAAGAAAAAAAGTAGAATTCAGAAGAACTGGATTGAGAAAAACTTACTTAAATTTCTATATAAAATTTAAAATCAGGAAAATCTAAATCCAAATAACTGAATCTTCAGCCACCGTCCACCAAAACCATGAAGCCGTCCAGCCACCACCTTTCTCGCCGCAGTTACCGGCCGGCGATGCCTCTTTAACGTTCTCCTTATTCTTCTCAGTCACCGTCTTAGTCTTGACTCGACACAACGGACAACTTGAATGCGACTGAAGCCACATATCGATGCACTGAACATGAAAGCAGTGCTTGCATTCCGGCAAGAGTTTGATATCCTCGCCGTCATTGAACTTCGACAGGCACACCGCACACATCTGATCTCCCTTACCGCCGACAAAGCCATCCCCTTTTCCGTTTTGAAATTCAAAAATAATCCTGCAGTTTTGATAACATAATAGTGATTTCTAATTCTATTCGTTAATATATTAGTTTTAACTTAACCCTATGCTTCAACATTCTAAAAATTATACCTTTGGTTCTCAATATCGTCGATTTTTGGTGTTTGACCGGCGTCGGCGAAGAACCGGCGGTGGCGGAGGATGGAGATGATGCAGAAATAGATGGTGGCTATGGTGAAGGCTGCTAAGGCGCCTATGATGAAACTATAGAAAAGAGAGGAGTCTTCCATTGACGGAATAATTATTAGGAGTGAGTGAAGGCATCTCATTCATGTTTGTTTATACATACATATAGGTAGAGCAAATCTTTCATAACATTATTTTTCTCCATATATATATATCTATACATTACGAAAAGTTTTTTTTTTTAAATTAAGCAAGAAAAATTAAAAAAATGTAATTAAACTGTCATAAAAATAATGAAAGAGAATATTAGAATTAAATGTAAAGAAATATATAGATATTTTAGGATAAGTTATGACAAAAAATTTTTTAGGGGGGGGGGGGGCAAAAATAAATTTTTAGGAGGGGCAAAAAAATTTTTTTACTCTCTTATAAATTTTTTTTTTACTCTACTCTAAAAAATATATATATATTTTTTAACGGGGGGCAATTGCCCCCCCTAGAAACCATGTGGTTCCGCCCATGGATGATGGAGAAAAATGATTCATGTAGCCGACCCCACGTAGTGGGACAAAGGCTTATTGTTGTTGTTGTTGTTGTTGTTGTTACTGCTGCTGCCGCCGCCGCCGCCGCTTAATTTATCACAATAGAGAAAAAAAATCATATAAAATTACTTTATTGTTATTGATAACTTACATTTGTTGTTATTGTTGTATAGAAACTTTATTATATATTAATATTTATAAACGCTCTACACATAAGTTGAAAAAATGAGGTCATTGCATTGCTCATAGAATTCAATCTATTTTTGGTGGATCTATAATTAAATAGGAACCAAATTAACACAGCTTCTACTTGTCGCACTGAAATTAAATTTGACTCTACCTCAGATGGATTTCGATGCTAATGACTTCCAGCACACAGAAGAATCAGACAAACTTAGGCAATAGTTTTTTTTATTTGGACATTTAGGTCAATTAAATCAGATTTATATACACATCACATACAAAAGACTCGAATCTAAGATCTCTTAGTTGGTAGCCTAAGGCTTCCAACCAACATACCAAGATGAGAAATGCAAAAATGAAAACCATTGCTGAAGGACTGGATACCCTGAAAAACAAGGCACATACTATGAATGAGGAATACTGGCAAATGCAATTAATTTTTGAGAATGAAACAAAGGTTTCGTTAAGGATAACTTTCTTACTACTTTGTAAATCAATTTCCCTCCGACTACAGTCTCTCAGACCACCATCGCTCGCCGACTACGGTACGTCTGATCATCGCCACCAACTGTCTCTAATCCGTCCGACCTTCCGTCGCCCACTGATTATGGTCCCTATGACCTCTGCTGCTTGTCGATTATGGTCGTTTAGACCACCATCACACGCCAACTACTGTTCATTCGACCACCGTTGCCCACCAATTACGTCCCTTCGACCATCGTCACCCACTGACTACAACCTCTCTGACTTCCCTTTGCCTGCCGACTACGATCCTTCTGACCACCGTCGACCGAATACTGCCCTAATGGCCGAATGAACAAGCCCACCCTCTCTTGAGAACAATTCTCATATCTGTTGAATTTTCTAGCTCCCACCATGTGATGTGCTTTATATAATGTATTTAGTACATCAAGCCAAGACCTTCACTCCCCCCCCCCCCTCATTTGTAATAAAAAATGAATAGTTGTTGAACTATTTCAAGACGGCCAGTCCTTGTGAATTTATTTCCTTTTTAAGATTTTCCATATAAAAATCTTGATGTCTTCTATGACTCTCATACCATTCTCTCTTATTTATCTATGTATTGGATCTTCATATAAAATTTAGATGTTAAACTTTATATCTCTCTAACGCTATGAATGTTCATGTCCACAATAGATGATAAGAGAATACCTATAATAAAATAATTGTAAGACAAATTTATAACTATCTCGGATTGCCTTTAATTAAAAATAAAAAGAATCACTACAAAAATTGGTTTGCTGTAGTTTGAAGGGCTTTTGAGACGATTTTAACTGCTGAAAAATCCTTTCAATTGTTTTAAAACCGCAGCAAAACCTGTGAGTAATGTCTGCTAGAAACTTATTTGACAGTGGTTTTTGCGTCCACTTGGCAAGCCTTAACCTAGCAATTTATTTTATAGCCATTAATAAAGCTTCATTTGGTACGACTTTTTTAGTGCTTTTTATAGTATTTTTTTAGTAAAAAAATTAAATTTTTATGCTAAAAAACTACTTTAAGAAGTCATACGCCATCACAAACTCGAAAAATTATTGCGTCCTCCCACCTGACGTAGAGATGCGTCCTCCCACCGCCAAAAAACTCCGTTTTTGCTCGGTATTGCTAGGTTTTATTTGGAAATAATGAGGAATATCATCATGTTAAGACCAATACCGAGTTATACCGAGCTATGCCGAGCAATACCGAGCACATACCGAGTTTTCACTAGGAAAAACTAGGTATTTTTTTGTATTGCTCGGTATAGCTCGGTATAACTCGGTATTGGTCTTCACATGATGATATTCCTCGTTATTGTTTGGTATTGCTCGGTATTTGCTTGGTATTTCTCGTTTTTTAGCGTGATTTTAGCACTGGGATGACGCATCTCTATGTCAAGTAGAAGGACGCAATAATTTTTCCACAAACTCAGCCTAAAAACTGAATAATTAAAAAAAGTTTTAGCCTGGCAGGCCGTGAACTTTGAAAAATAAATCGAATTTGTGGGGCGGAAAAAAACAAAATTAGAAAGCCTCATTCTAATAAAACAAAAGGAGGTATGGTAAGAAAATGAAATTTTTCTATATGAAAATGTTCTTAGATTTTGTTTTTACTATTTAAAAAAATAAAACATGTCAAAATAAAAATAATATACTTACTTAAGACAAATAAATTCGAAAGATAAAAAACGTACTTATTGGTGAGTCAGTTGATTTGTCTACCCATTTAAGAAAAAAATAATTCGAAAGACAAAAAACGTACCTATTGGTGAGTCAGTTGCTTTGTTCACATATAAGAAAACACAATTAAAATTTTGGAGAAGATGAAATGTGGAAAAAAATATTGGTTAGATTTTAGCTAGGTCAAACCCATCAAAAATATAAAAACTAATTTAACCAAGAAGCTTATGAAAATAAAAATATTTACACATCAAATAAAGGATGACGAAATACAATTAATTTGAGCATGGTCTAGGGACGGGTGGGAGATCGAGTTAAAGACACAGTAGTAAGCAACAATTACGACTGACTACCTACGATAATTTTTTAGAAATAGGAAAAGCTGTTATATCTTGTTCAAGATGTATTAATTGATTACAACGGTTTTACGCACCCACAACTAAGTTATAGTAGTGATTCAAATCACTGCTATTTGTAGCGATTAAAATTACATCAATTTAACAGCAGTTTCAACCACTGCAAAATATCAAAATTAGTTGTAGTTTTAAAACCATTGCGAAAATGTGTTATCTTAAGTACATGATTTTGGCAGTGAAGAATGACGTAAAAATCATAGATTCTTTGAATCTGAATGCCAAAAGGTTAGGTCAAATTAACTTCAAAAGAAAATTTTGGCCAAATATTTATCAAATTATCAATGGCTTTTTTTTTTTCAAGGATTCAACATAAAAAATGCTATGATGCAACTTTTTAGATTAAGAAAAAAGATTAAATAACATAATAGAAAATCATATTTACTTAAGATCCTTCATGTCAAATATTTATGATAGAATAAAAGTAAGATTATACCTTAATCCATAGAAAGAATATAATTTTGGGTTATTAATCTTTAAATCTAAAATAGTTTAAGCCTCCATATTTTTCAAATCTAATATAGTTTACCTTAATCTATATTTCATGTTAATCCCAAAGCCTTATTTCTTTGATTGTGTGATTGGTTTTCATCAGTTCTTTGGCTGGTACAAAGATTTGTGCCTTTTTTTCCCTATCTTTGGCTGGTACAAAGATTTGTTTCTTTTCTTTATGTTGTGCTTTAGGTAACTTTTTTTTTTTCAACTTTTTTTTTTTTATGTTGTGCTTTATGTAACTTAGATTCGAAACTGGTGCTCCATAGGTCTTTGCTTTGCCTTTTAATTTTAGCTTTAGAAGCAATAGCGAGCTAAGGTTTTCATTACAGCAATTTGTAATCCTTCTTTTTTATGAAATAAAATATGCACCCATTAAGGGGTTTGACTTTCCTCACATAAAAAATCCCAACCTTTTATTTTAATTACTTAAATAAAATCCTAGCGGCCATTCATTTAATTATTCAACTAGAATTTTGACTATTATCAATTTCATATTTTACGAATGAGTCATCACAATCATTATAAAAAAAAAAGAGATCAAGACATTGAAAATATGTTGAAATTGGTGCAAATATATAAACAACGACTACATATATTGAGGGAGAATGGATGGAGCGTTTTACTAGATAAAGTGTCACTTTTTTGTAATATTTTTCAAGTTATTGTTCCAAATATAAATGATACACAAGGGCGGATCCAGCTTCTTTTTTTAGGGAAGGCAAAAAAAAAATTTTGTTGGAGATGGGCAAAGATGCTTAGGACTGATAAAATTAGGGCATAAAATTTTTTTTTTTGGGGGGAGGGTCAAAATACCCAAAATATACAAAATATTCTAAAATTTCCCCTCTAAATATTTTTTTTTAAAAAAATTTGAGGGCATTGGCCCACCTTGAATCCTTGGTAGATCCGCCTATGATGATACATAAAAAAACTCATCGTCGATCAATATGAAGTGGTGAAGAGATAACAAACTTACATCTTATTGTATTGAGCTATTCTATATTGTAGATAACATGCAACTTCATGAGCTAAATAATTGATTATTTCAATCTAATATTGAGTTGCTTCTTTTTGTGACATGCTTAAAGCCAGGTGATTTCATCCTTGCTTATGATGAGAGAAAAATGATATATCTAGTAGAGTTATATCCAAGTGATTTTTTTATAATTGAGCTTGTAGCTGTTAAAAGTCAATTATCAACTTATATTATTGATATATGTATCAGTGATGAATTCTCTTCTCTAAACAGTATTATTGATTTTGCAAAGCAAATTGTTAAGATAAAAAATGATGG